GGCAGATTTTATTACGTTATTTTGTTAATGCACTCGAAGACTGGTGATCCACCAGTACCTCTAACGTCTCGCGAGAAAATATTACGTCCGTACGCGGTCAAAAAACACCAGCCATGAAAGCGTTTTACGCATTCCTTCGTCGGCTTCCCGCTCGCGAAATTTCGCCTACGCAATCTTTCTTCCTGAGAAGACATTTCTTCAACCCATTTTACCAAACCGGATGAATGGTACAATACGATGGTCTGAAGATCATAATTGAGCGTGAGCCAAGATTTTGAGAACTGATTCTGAGTTTATTAATATGTTCGAAAGTATCGTGACTTCGTAATTAAGTAACACTATTCTCCGCTGCGATACGTGAACTTGAAATGTTCATTTTTGAAACTTGAAGTTTCATAACTTCGTAATTTGAAGGGACACGTGTTGGTATATGTGTTTTCATAACTTGAAGAGAAACGCGCGTAGATGTACGTTTTCATAACCTGACGAAATACACGTATAATAATCGCAGAACCACGTTCTATATTTTACGAGAATATCTTTTTATATTTCTATAATTTACGAAAACTATACTCACACCACTATGATTCTCAGACCGTGTGTACTAAAATGACCTCGACTATTGTAACCTTCCTTGGGATCAAATGAAATTCATTTAATACATTTTAAAGATTGTAATCAACCTATAAATACTAAATTTGGCCATATTACGGCCACATCGTTAAAATTCGTCGCGAGAATGCGAGAGAAAATCGAGGTAACGAAACTTGGAAAACGGTTCTTTCACGAAGGAAGTTAATAAACCGCGGATACGTAGACACGGAGGCAATAAGACACTGATAAGGAAGAAACATCGTGGCGGTTTGGTATAAATAGGATGCGGCTAGTAAACGAACGAAGTCGTAAGCAGTTGCCTCACGTACGCAATTTTTGCCACCGTCGATCCTTTGCCCGAATATTACAAGCACGGACGATTTAGCACGGCGACGAACACACCGGCGACTCCCGTTGCATGTTTGCGCGGAAGATCGTAGGGGTTGTTGCTGGAAAGGTTAATTTTAGTCGCCCACCACCGACGACGCTCGAAATCGCGAGTCCCAGACGTTAGGCGTCCCATTCGTTCCTAGGTGAAGGAATTTTTTGACAAATTTTTTTGCAATATATTCCATCTATAAAAAAAAAAAAAAAAAGTTAATGTGAAAATGATTAGAAAGTGATAACATGATTTTTATCTTCGCAATTTAACTCTGATATTATCGTACAAAGCTTTTACTCTTGCTTTAAAAA